TGAGCACCCTGCTCCTCGCTGCACGGATCCTGCACCCCGCTCTGGGCACCCTGCTCCCGGCTGTGCACAACTTACACCCGCTGTGCGCACCTTCCACCCGCTGTGGGTACCCTGCTCCTCGCTGCACAGATCCTGCTCCCCGCTCTGGGCAATCTGCACCCCGCTCTGGGCAAACTTTTCCCCACTGTGAGCACCCTGCTCCCGCTGTGCACACCCTGCTCCCTGCTGTGGGCACCCTGCTCTCCACTGCACAGATCCTGCACCCTGCTCTGTGCATCCTGCACCATTAGTGCACACCCCGTTCTCCCCACTGTGAAAATGTCTGGTGAGACCAAGCCAGGATCACTGTCACCCAAGGGCCCCACAGCCCTCTGGGCACATCCTGCACACCAAGTCCCTCCTGCCGCCACTGCAGTTTCATTCCTCATGCCCTGGGACAGCCTGGTGCCCTGTTAGCCACTGGCTCAGGAGAGGTGGGAGCCGTGGGACACCCTGTCACTGGGATACCCCATCACCAGATCACCCTGTCACTGGGACACCCTGTCACCAGAGCACCCTGTCACCAGAGCCCCTGTCACTGGGACACCCTGTCACTGGGACACCCTGTCACCAGAGCCCCTGTCACTGGGACACCCTATCAGTGGGACACCCTATCCCTGTGGCACCCTGTCACCGGGACACACTATCAATGGGACACACTATTACCGGGACACCTTTGTCACTGGGCCACCCTGTCATTGGGACACCCTGTCACCAGGGCACCCTGTCATGGCACATCTGTGCAGCCCCTTTGTCCCCTGAAGAAGCTGCCCCACTGGGACCAGGAACTGCTGCCACAAGGTCACTGAATGATGCAGGGATTCAGCAGCCTAGAAGAAAAATTCCAGGGCCCCTCTAACAGCCATGTCTCCTTGCTCTACCAGCTTCTAACCCTGGCTGCTCTTCCAGCCAACACAAATCCATGCTGGAGTTGCTCTGTGGATCCCCTCCCTGTGCTGTGCAGGTCACAGGGCCTTTATCACAGTGTAACTGGGTTTAATTTTCTTACATCCGTGAGAAACACTCAAGGCTTTCTCTCTCTCCAGGCTGAGTAACCTGGTTTAGTGGAAGGTGTCCCTACCCCTGGCAGGGGGCTTGGAATGAGATGGGTTTTAAGGTCCCTTCCAACCCAAACCAGGCTGTGATTCTATGGTAAGCCTCAAGACTCCAGTTCTGGCTTCTGACATGGGATTTATTGGGTCTCAGGGGAGAAGATCAGAGGTACAGAAGAGATGTCATTACTGAAGAATGAGCTCAAGCAAGCATGTTTATTGGATGCCTTATGAAACACTGCAGAGAGGCTCAGAGTACATGGAAATTTGGGGCATTGCTTTCTGTGAGTTCTGGAGACAGCAAGGAAACTGATGTAACTCCAGAGCTGTGTGTTTTCCTCCTACAGGGAAGGTACATGCGGAATCCACAAATTTCATCAGTGTTGTTTTAATTCTTGATTATGAACACAATAACAAGGAATCATTGGCAAGCACAGGGGAATGGAGCTGAGCAGAGGGGAGTCTGCAGATGGAGAGGGGGACTGTAAAGTGGCATTTCATTAAAGCCCTGCTACCCTTGTGCTCCTTGCTCTGCTCCAGAGAGGCTCACACTCTTAGGCCGTGCAGAGCCTTTGCAGAGTGTCCACTGTGGACAGGAGGAGGAGGAAGCACTAACAATAAGAAGCTGGTTTAATGAGGATAAGAGAGGATTTGCAGTTCCCCTTGCACAGGTTGCCCCATGTCAGGCCGCCCTTGTAATTCAGCCGCACGGAGTAACAGGACGAGTACCACCACCCTCCTTCATAGCTGTAGGCACAGTTCTTACTGTAGGTGTCCTGGTCCTGGTCCTTTGTGGAGAATTTCATGTTGTCGTGCATGTTGTTGGGGTTGTCTGAGGTCATGGCGTCGCCGGCCGTGCCATTGTAGGAGCCCAGCCTGAGGCGGTAGCCGTGCTCCTCGTCCTCCACGCTGAACAGGTTGTAGTCTGCGAAGCTGAGGTTGTCTGCAGAGTCCTGGATGACAAACCTCACCTGGTAGACCTTCTGCTTGGCAATCTGGTGGATGTACTCGGTGCCCAGCCAGTACTCGGTGCGCACGTTCCCGAAGCCGAACTTGTAGGTGCTCCAGGCCTCGGCCCAGGTGACCGGGGTGTCCCTCTGGTTCCTCTGGATGACGGTCCAGCCCCCGTGGGTCACGTTCATCTCGCAGTACACCACCAGGTGGTGCAGCCCCTTGGGCTGGATGATGTACACGCCGCTGTGGCTTCCCCGCGGGATCTCACTGCAGTCCTTGGGCCACCCTGAGGCTGCAAACAAGAGATGGTTATTGAATCCCCCTGAGAGTGGGGCGTTTCTTTTGTGTCTGAATCCTTCTGCACACACATTCCTAGGCTGCATTCCTGCCATGTGCTCACAGGAGTAAATCAAAATCTTGCATGATCAATGACTTGATAAACTCTTACATGATCAGTGTAAGACGTTATCAAATCAGGGTGCCATTGGCATGGGAGTAATGTGCTCTGACTCCAGTGATTCAGAAGGCTGAGCAATTGCTTT